TTCTGGACTATTTCCTACGTACATGTACTACATTAAAAGTCATACTATAAATATGATTTAAAACACAGTCATTTATCTCAAGAAGCATCTAGTCCAGCTGTGGAGGAAAAAAAGCACAAAGACTTAAGCAAGTAACTACTACAGAGTATGAGAAGTGCAAGACTGAAGGATGAATAAGATCCAGAGGAACTAGAGGATATAAAACTCTGTTGGCCTGGAGGGAGGTCATGAACATTTTACAGAGGAGGCAGTATGTGAGTTTGGTTTACCTGGATAAAAATAGGAGGTCACTAAGCAGACAATGGGAGAAGAGAATTCTCAGAAAGAAGAGGATGTCCAAGGGCCACAAACCTACAATAGCATGACATACTCAGAAACAAGAAATAATTTTGACTAGGCATTGTAAAATGCAAAGAAGATAGCTTTGAAAAGGATAATAAAAACATAAGTAGGGGAAATACCATGAAGGGCCCTTTGTGCAACAGAATGGAGTTTCAATTTTACTCTAGAGTTGATGGGGAGCCATATTAATCAGGGGAGCAATATGGTTCATTCGAGTTGCCAGGTGTGTCGTGGTCAGGTAGAATGAGCCAAACTTGTAGTTCCAGCAAGAATGCAAACAAGAGGCCAAAAAGGATGTTCTGCTTTCTTTGTTCCATTTTTTCGTCACAGAAGGATACCCCATATGTAGGCAGGTGGGGGAAATCCTCTCACTGCTGAGGAGTAGTAAACAAAATGTTCCTGCCATTTTATAGACCTGAGGGCTGGTGGGAGGGAAAAGAGGTACAGAAACAGAAAGGTCTGACTCAGAGGGGAGGAAAGCATGTCAGTCAAGGTCTTGGTGAAAGCGCTTGGACTAGGGATGCAGATGTGTGGATGAGCATGGCTGGCCCAGTGGGAATGGTGAGTGTCCTTGCCATCCCCTGCAGAAAACCAGGGTGCAGAACCCTGGCTGTACCAAGTCAAATGCAGGAGGGCAGCTTCCAATGGTGAGGGTTGCCAGGTCAAGCCTGAAAGATCACATATAGGTATGAGCCTGGGTTAGACTCCTCCTCAGGTCAAATCTGTGATCTCCAAGAATCATTCATGGACAATGTGAAAAACGAAATTAAGGAAGAGGATTCACAGTGATGAGGGGACTGGTGGGAGCTAGTATAACAATCTAGGTTCAACATGTGACCTGAACTGGTAAAGTGACTGAACCTAGTCCACACGGGAAAGGAAGGGCTGATAAACTGGGAGAAAAATGGGGGAGTCAAAAGACTGGAAGATGGGCTCAGATAGCAGTGAGGGATAGAGCTTGATGGGCAGAGGTTACAGCCAGGAAGTGAAGAATTGGGGCCCAGGATTTCTAAGGTGGAATAATCACAGGTGGTCCTGAGGCAGGTAAGCAGAGTAGTGAAATAGATAAGTCAAAGATACAGAGCTATAGCTTCTTTTTATCAAAGAACTCACACAAGGTGGTGGCAGATGATAGTGACAGTGGATTTAAGAATAATGAAGTAGTTAGCATGAGCTTTCTGTACAAGAAGAGCAGTTGTTTGGAAGCAGAAGACAGAGAGAATATTATCAACTCACTGCAGTGCAGAGATATGAAGATATGCCAGGGAGAGCAGTTTCCTACAAGAAGGAAGCAGCAGGAAGTACTATTGTCAGGGAAAAGAGCATTCTGAGAAGACCCTCAGGGCACTGAGGAGTCCTCTCTAAAAATAGAGCAGTTTTCAGAGAGAAGAGTGAAAAGTAAGGAAACAGAGGAGGATATGAGAAAACAGGACAGAATCAGTATCTACAAAGAGCTAAATCTGGGGTGGTGCCAAAGGATGACATGATGAGATGGGGCTGAAACCATCTCAGAGGCCCCAGCCTCAGTCAGAGCCTGGCTAGTCTCTGAGGGCACTGCCACACAGCTACCAGCCACTGTTGTTTTACTCTGTGAGATTTTTATTTAAATAAACTTCAGTAACATTTAAATTTCTTTCTTAGAATGTGTTTGACAAAGTTCTCACCAAAGGCAAAAAAAAAAAATTTTCAGCTCACTGAAGTGGAGTAGAAAAAATACTTGTTAACACAATTCTTTAAGCTTCGGCATGATTCCTGAGAATGTGTGTGTTGGAAGGATTTCAATGGTGCATTTAATTTACTTTACTAGCCCCACAGGACTACACTTATTCCCTAAAAATAATGCTTGTTTCTCTGGAGAAGGCAGTCTCAAGCTTAACAAGCAGGGGAATACAATTACAAGCTTAAAAAGTAATCTTTTCTACTATTTACTAAACCTTAATTGAGGATGTACTTTCAAATGTTTACTCTGAAGCATTTAATCAGATCTTATATCCTCTGGTTCTGTCCAAGAGGGAAAGCTAGTCTATGATGTATTTATAATTATTCTTCAAATAACACATAGCTCATCCTTTTCCATTCTTTGAAGATTTTCCCCTAGGTCTAACTCTATAAAAATCCTAAAAAAAATAAACAGCTTTTCATTGGCCTATAACAAAAAGACAGACAAAAAAAAAAAAAAAAAAAAAGACAGACTATGAGCAGTATCCAGGTTGGGACAGAAAAGGAATGCTTAGAGCTCTTATTCATGCATATAAAATGGATTTATTTAAGGTGATTTATTAAGGGTGATCTGGATGACACATCTGTCACTTATTACCAGAGCTAGTCTTATTAGGCTAGTATAGGTTAGTATTTTCCTTCTGCCCTTACATAACCCATTGTATCCCTCCTCAAACTCTGGGTCATCATAAATTTTAAACTGGTGTTTCAGATAAACTTTGTACTTTAGTCATAAAAGAAATGATATCCATCACCTATCATGTACGGAGTTCTTACTGTGTGCTAGATGCTGTGCTGCTTTATATAGATCTCATGAATCTTCAAAACCATCTGTGTAATATACAATATGGTGATTCAACTTGTAAATAAATTAGAGTGATTCTCTTTGGATTCTACACATAACATTTTAACTCACAGACACTGATGAATAACAGTGAAAGAAAATAGCTAAAATGAGATTCTCAACTATATGAATATAAATTCCAATCACCTCCACTAAGTATTTATCCAAATCCACATTAAACAGTTAAATTATCAAATGTGTAGCCTCCTTCCTGAGTCCCTATCCCTTCCCAAAAAAGGTACTACATCTCTTAAAATCGTAAAAGAGTGGCAGAAATACAGTGAAAAGCAAGTCATATGGGAAATTGATTGTACTAATTCTGTAGCATTTTATTTCTCATTTGTAAGGAAGCTTTACAAAAATCTTTGTTTTATAAAGTGGATTCACACACTTTAAACACAAGGTTAAAAAATAAGAACAAATTTAATTTTAAACAAAATCCAGAAATGAAAGAAGAGGAATAACAATTGAAACCAAAGAAATACAAAGGATAAGAGAATATGATAAAAAAATTATACACCAACAAATTGGACAATCTAGAAAAAATAAATTCCTAGGAACATATAACCGCCCAAAACTGAATTAGGAAGACATTGACAATTTGAACAAATTATTAGCAATTAAACTAAGTTATTAAAAAAAAACTTTCAACAAATAAAAGCCCAGGACCAGATAGCTTCATAGGTAAATTCTACCAAACCTGTAAAGAGTTAATATCTGTTCTTCTCCAACTATTCCAAAACATAGAAGTAAAGCTTCCAAATTCATCCTATGAGGCCAGAATTACCCTGATACCAAAACCAGATAAAGACACCACAAAAAAAAGAGAACTATAGATCAGTATCTCTGATGAACACAGATGTAAAAATCCTCAAAATACTAGTAAACATAATCCAACAATACAGTAAGAGACTAATTCACCACGATCAAGTGGGATTTATTCCTGGGAAGCAAAAGTGGTTCAATATTCACAAATCAGTCAACATGATATATCACATCAACAACAAAAAAAAGGGTAAAAACCATAGGGTCATTTTAATAGATGCAGAAAAAGCATCTAACAAAGCACAAGATCCATTCATGATAAAAACTTTCAACAAAGTAGGTTTAGAGCGAACATCTCAACACCATAAAACCCCCAATAGTCCAATCTAAAAATGGCCAAAAGACATGAATATACATTTCTCCAAAGACATCCAGATGGCCAACAGACACATAAAAAGATAGTCATCACCACTCATCATCAGGAAAATGCAAATCAAACCCACAATGAGATATCCTCTAACACTTGTCAGAACGGCTAAAATCAAAAACAAAGAAACAAGTGTTGGCAAGGATGTGGAGAGAAAGGAACCCCTGTACAGTATTCGTGGGAATGTAAAATGGTGCAGCCACTGTGGAAGATAGTATGCAGGTTCCTTAAAAAATTAAAAATAGAATTACCATATGATCTAGTAATTCCACTACTGGGTATAACACAAAGAATATGAAAACACCAATTCAAAAAGATATATGTACCCCTATGTCTACTGGAGCACTGTACAATAGCCAAATTATGGAAGTAGCCCAAGTGTCCATCAGCAGATGAATGGATAAAGATGATGTAGATCTACAAGGGAGTATTACTCAGCTATACAAAAGAATGGGATCTTGCCATTTGCAACAACATGGATGGATCTAGAGGGCATAATGTCAAACTAAATAAGTCAGAGAAAGACAAATATGATTTCATTCTTATATGGAATTTAAGAAATGAAAGACAAAAAAAAACACAACATACTCTTAACTACACAGAACTGATGATTGCCAGAAGGGATGTGGGTGGGACAATGGGTGATAGAGGTGAAAGAGATTAACAGTACACTTAGGAGAGCACTAAATAATATACAGATTTCTTCAATCACTATATTGTATATATGTCAACTATACTGCAATTTAAAAAAATAGATTCAATTTTGCCTATTGATCTTCCTAAATAATTTTCAATGCTCACCATAAGGATGACAATAAATATTTTAAATATTATGATGGACAGTGTTGAAAATTCAGGTTAATCTTTCACAATGCCAAGAAGTATGAAAGGAGTAGTACTCACCTCCTTTGCACTCTTAATCTTAGTCAGAAATGTATGCAGCTCCATTGTTTCTGCAAACAGTGCACGACATACTGCCTGATAATGATTTGGTGCCTCTGATTCAGTTGGAAGATGAGCAGCACATAACTACAGAAGTGGAAAATAAAATAATAATGCTCATTTATTTTGGGGGGGTTTTGGTACCTTAAAAACAGACACACCTCATATATTCGTATTTTTATATCAGATAGCAAGGCAATTCCCATCATCCAAAACCCAATGCATCACAAAACCATCAGTAAAATCTAAACAATTATATAGAAAAAGTGCTCCACTTACACTCAACAGCACAGATGAACTTAGTAGAATTCATCAGTTCCTATTTGAAAATGATAGGGTTGCAAGTAGAAAAGGAGCTTACAATTTACTGAGTATTAATCATAACACAGGTGTTTTAATAGCTATCATCTATTTTTTTTTACCACGTCAGGCACTGTATTTGACATGTCATATACACAGCATAGTAACACTCAGTCTTCAGTGTAACCCTGAATTATCTCCATTTTATAGCAAAGGAAACTGAGTCTAAGAGGACTTACGGAGTCCACAGTCAGAAAGCTGCCATGAGGGAGAATTAAACACAGTCTTTTTTAAAGATTTTTAAAGCCTAGGCTCAACCTAATATATGCTGAATTGTGTTAGGTGGTAAAAAGACTGCCAGAATGGCACGTGGACCACTGGGAAGATGTCTCATCAGTAAATGGAACGTGGAGCAAAGAGGGCAGGGGGCAGAGTAACTCCACTGGTGGTAGCTCCAGTCCAAAACTACTGGTAGGTAGGAGATGCAATTCAGCATCATGCACAACAATTTAGGAAAAACAAACACCATTTAATTTATTGATTGGAAATACACCTTATCAAGAGTCTAATGTATGGGAATTAATTTACCTTTTTGTAAAGTAATAATTTAGTATCCATGTACTATAGTTATGTTTTAAGGTACTTCATTTGCTTTAAAAAGCTGTTGAGTTCTCCCTTACTTCTTTACTATATTTGGTAAAATTGACATTAATACAATTACTGAAAATATACACTTTATTTTTTTTTTTTAGATTTTATTTATTTGAGAGAGAATGAGAGAGAGCAGAAGCATGGAGGAGGGGCAGAAGGAGAGGGAGAAGCAGACTCCCTGCTGAGCAGGAAGCCCCATGCGGGTGACTCTAGAATCATGACCTGAGTTGAAGGCAGATGCTTAACCAACAGAGCAACCCAGGTGACCCCAAAATATATATTTTAATGATTTCTATCCATTGGAGAGTGAAAGATGTCTTTGTAGATTGTATTATCCTTCATAATGTGGCCTTTGTTTTCATTTGCAATTAGTATCATATGTAATTTACTAGATTACTATCTTTAATAAAGCATATTCTTCTCAAGAAAAATATCTTGGGTTTCAGCAAGAAATTTTCTCTGCAGTACCCAAAACAAGGCTAAGAACTGATATATGAGAAAGCATGAAAAGCAAAAATTTCACAAGCTATATAATGGAGTATTACTCAACCATAAAAAGAATGGAACCTTGCATTAGCAATGACATGAATGGAGCTACAGAGTATTATGCTAAGTAAAGTCGGTCAAAGAAAGATGCCATATGATTTCATTTATACATGGAATTTAACAAAACAAAAAGAGCAAAGGGGAAAAAAAGAGAAGCAAACCAAGAAATAGACTTTTAACTATAGAGAATAAACTTATGAGAGGAGAGAGGGTGGGAGGATTAGTAAAACAGGTAATGGGGAGTAAGGGGTACACTTGTGAAAAGCAATGGGTGATGTATGGGAAGTACTGAATCACTATGTTGCACACCTGAAACTCACGTATGTTAACTGGAATTAAAAAACTTAGTCTCACAGAGTAACGATGAACAGAGTATACTTTTTGCTCAATTATTTTTGTACACAGAAGACAGCTTCCAATATATAATTATCATTTCCAAGATAATGAAAAACTACTAAGAGTTTCATCTTTCTCTAATGATCCCATAATTTTAAATTCTAATTACATAATGTATAATATGGCAAAATACTTTTTTACTGTAATTGCTGGTAAATTCATTTTACACAAGGACTCGTGCATGCAAACCTGTTTTACACAACAGTTTCACAAAACAAAACTTACACATTGAAGTGATTTCACGATCAATAGGAAAACATAGGGATAAACTTTCTTGTTCGTGGATTTGGTAATGATTTTTTAGATAGGACACTAAAGCATAACCAACAACCACAAAATGGATAAATTAGACTTCATCGAAGTTAAAAGTTTTCACACATCAAAGGATACTTTCAAGAAAGTTAAAAGGCCCACATAATGGGGGAAAATACTTGCAAATCAGATATTTGATAAAGGTCTTTATATATTTAGAATATATAAAGAACTTTCTAAAAGACTATTTATTTTAGAGGGGGAGGGGTAGAAGGGGGTACTCAAGCAGACTCCCCACTGAGCACAGAGCCTGACACTGGGCACCATCTCACAACCTTGAGATCATGACCTGGACCAGTGGTGTCTTGGACACCACTATAAAGAACTCTTAATTGCAGCAAAAAGACAACCCAATTTAAAAATTAAGGAGACAGAACATGAGAGACTCCTAACTCTGGGAAACGAACCAGGGGTGGTGGAAGGAGAGGTGGGTGGGGGTTGGGGGTGACTGGGTGACAGGCACTGAGGGGGCACTTGATGGGATGAGTACTGGGTGTTACTCTATATGTTGGCAAATTGAACATCAATAAAAAATAAATTTATAAAAAAATAAAAAGTAATAAAAAATAAAAATTGACTTAAACAGACATATTTCCAGAGAAAATATTCAACAGACCAAAAAGTACATAAAAAAGATGCTCAGCACCATTAGTCACTAGAGAAATGCAGGTCAAAACCACAATGAGATACCACTCAGACCCAGCAGGGTGGCTACAAGACCAAAAACCCAAAATGGAAAATAAATGTTGATGAGAATGTAGAGATAATGGAACCCTTGTGTATTGCTGGTGGAAATGTAAAATGGTACAGCCACTATGAAAAACAGTTTGGTGGGACGCCTGGGTGGCTCAGCGGTGGAGCATCTGCCTTTGGCTCAGGGTGTGATCCTGGAGTCCTGGGATTGAGTACTGCATCGGGTTCCCTGCAGGGAGCCTGCTTCTCCCTCTGCCTGTGTCTCTCTGCTTCTCTCTGTGTCTCTCATGAACAAATAAATAAAATCTTTAAAAACAAAAACAAAAAACAGTTTGGTGATTTGTCAAAAAGTTATTACCATGTGATCCAGCAGTTCCATTCTTAAGTGGAATATAATTAACCTTGAACAACACAGGTTTGAACTGCTCAGGTACACTTACATGCAGATTTTTAAAATATAAATACAGTACTGCATTATATTTGCAAATGTATTTTCTCTTCCATAGGATTTTCTTAACATTTTTTATAGCTTACTTTATTGGAACAGTATATAATATATAAACTATGTATTGTGTTTATGTTAAAGCTTCTGGTCAATAGCCAGCACGCTTAGCAGTTAAGATTTTGAGGAATCAAAAGCTGTATGCGAATTTTCAGCTGTGCTGGGGGTCAGTGTCCCTAACCTCTGCACTATTCAAGGGTCAACTGTTTATCAAAAAGAATAGAAAGCCAGTGTTCAAACAAAAGCTTGTATACAGATGTTCATACCAGCAACTCTCCATAGCAGCCAAAGGTGGAAACAATTTAAATGTTCTGAACTGGTATGTGGAAAAACAAATGTGGTATATACATAGAATGAAATCTTATTCATTGATAAGAAGGAATAAAGTGCTGACACACACTATAACATGGATGAACCTTAACAACATTATACTAATAAGTAAAAGCAGCCAGATACAAAAGGTCATGTATTGTATGATTCCACTTATATGAAATTCCCAGACTACACAAATCCACAAAGTCAGAAAGCTGATTAGTGTTTGCCAGGAGCTGAAAGACAAGGGATATAAGTGATGGCTATGGGGTTTCCATTTGAGGTGAGAGAAAAGCTCTGGAATTAGATAGTGGTGATGGTTGAACAATATTGTGAATACACTTAATGCACCTAAATTGGACACTTTAAAATAATTTAAATGATAAGTTGTATGTGTATTTTACCACAATTTAAAATGTTTTAAAAGCTTAACAAAGAAAAACAAAATTCCACAGTCTCCACTGAGACAGAGGGAGAAATAGTCCCAAAGAGGAAAAATAAGTGGTTATTTCACTGTACATGAACTTTTTATTTTTGTTCTTTCTCCTAAATGCATCATTTCATTTAATCCTTACAACAGTTCAATTTATAGATATGGAAGCAGATTTAGAACAGCTAAAATAATTTACCCAAATCACACAGCTAGGCAGAACAGGAACCCAAGCAGTCTACCTCTAGAAGCCAAGTTCCTATGAATGTATATCATATCACTCTTAACCTAGAATGAATGTGTATTACTTTTATATTAAAGAAAAACATGTTTTTAAAGTATATAAGCATACAGCATGGTATACAATAAAACTATCTTTTAAAGTAACCAAAAAAGAGAACAATATGGGGGAAGGGGAACATAATTAGCAGGAGTAGGTTCTGTCCTATATCTATCAACATGAGGTTATATGACCTTAGACAATCTGACTTTGCTAGGGTTCAGTTTATTTCAAGGGAGGACTTGGACTGTGTTCTCTCTTACTTAATCTACTGGTCTGTTCTATGACTAATTTTTTAAGTCCAGCTTTAAATCCCACCTAAGACTCCCCAACTCCTACTCTAGGCCCCTCCTGATATCTGTTTATCAATCAGAAAAAGAGCTATTTTACTTTTCTTCTTTTTAAAAATATTTTATTTTTTTATTTGAGAGAGAGAGTGAGCATACATGAGAGTGCACAAGTGGGGAGTGGGAGGGTAGAGGGAAAGGGAGAAGCAGACTCCCCACTGAGCAGGGAGCCCAACTCAGGGTTTGGTCCAAGGATTTTGAAATTATGACCTGAGCAGAAGGCAGACACTTAACTGAGCCAATCATGTGCCCTATTCTTGAAAGATATTTTCCTAGGCAAAGAATGTTAGGTTCTATTTTAAAACTTTGAAGATATTA